TCCTCGGGTAACTCGTCAACTCCAACATGCTTCTTTTGCGGAGGGCCACACGTTATGCGTACGTGTTCAATAGCTGGAGATTACTTACGGGCAGGTAGGATTATTCGAGACGGGCCGTACTTCGCGTACCCTGATCACTCTCGCATACGACGATATGGAGAAGAGACATTCAAGCAGGTAATCGACGCTAGATACGCCTCACCGTGTTCTCCAACGCCTGCTACAGGATCGAATTCAATCCCCCTTGATACTCCTCGCCAAGATCCCATACCCCAAAACACTACTGCGGATATCCCTAGCTCTGCTTTCGTCACCGAATCGTACTTCCTCCAGTGCCAACCGGTCGTCGAGAACCATGCAGTAATAGTGGCTGTCGAGGAAGAAACAGATGAGCAAGCAGCAGAAACCCTTGCGGTGACTAGGTCCAAGTCCAAAGCAGCAGTCACCCAGGAGACTCAAACCACCACACCCCTCTTATCACCACATTCTGCTTCGAATCCAGCTCCTGCACCATCTACCGTCCCTTCATCCTCATCACGCGTCGTACCCGTCGAAACTGTCAAACCCGTTGCTCTCGAGACCAAGAAAGAGCCGGCATTTAAGTACGAATCAAAGGCTGCCTCACCCAACGCCGCTAAACGCCTCTACGAGACCATCCTCAACATGCCCATCCAACAACTGACGATAGCCGACCTATTATCAATCAGCCCGGATCTGAGGAAGGAGGCGGTAGAATACTCACGCACTCAGCGAGTACCAACGCCTGCCACCACACGCGTCGAGAATGCCCTGGCATCAAGCCTAACTAACACCCCCCCCCTCCAAATCGAACATGCGACGCCCCTGCGAGAAATTCGTGTCACACTGAACGGAACTCATTCGGAGTTAGGGCTACTGGACGAAGGGTCAGAGATTGTCGTTATTCGAGAAGATGTCTGGAGGAAAACGAACGCGCCTATCAATCAAGACGTTCACATGCACATGCAAACGGCAAATGGAGGGTCTCAGGAGATGGCTGGATGCTTAGAGATGTTGGAAATAGACGTCGAGGGAATTAAGACATGGGCCCACGCATACGTAGTACCAGACGCTCCCTATCGTCTACTCTTGGGACGACCATGGCAACGATTAGTTCGCCTCTCAAAAGCCGAGGACACTAACAATGTTCACGTTTCAGTACACGACCCTATGGACCCAAATATCACTAGGACCGTCAAAACCACCCCTCGTCCTTGGCCTCATCCTTCCCTTGCCTTAACCGCGGCAGCGCTTCTTTCCATACCATTCCACTCATCATCATCGGCTCTACTCACATCTTACACCCCACTAACCAGCTCGACGGACATCTACCATGCCATCAAATCGTTTGGTGACGTTATCGCTGGTTTCCCAACACAGCGCGACCGAGAGAACAAGATCGAGAGAGCCAATGACCAGTATTGCGCGAATCTCGGTATGAAGATCAATGCCAAACTTGGAGGCGTTAATTCACTACCAGATCCGAAACAGGTCCTGGCGATTCTGCCGACAAGCTCGACGGATACCTATCATACCCAAAAGGCCCCTACTCCTACACATATACCTATACCTATCCCCACCTCTCGTTTCACATACTCCTCATTCTCCGAATTCCTTCTCCAAGCGCATTTCGATATAGACCCCCTTCGCCGCTCCTTTGCCTATAAGAAAGTCGTTAACAAAGTCAGACCTGTCCCTACCACCATGCCAGCGCATGCGCGCATCATCCGTACCTTTCCAGAAGACCCTCTCTTGTCCCTTCCTACCCTCACTCCCACACCCCCAGCATTCTCTCCTGGCAAACGCCTAACGAAGGAACGCATGGACGACCTCGGTGTACTCTCAAACGAGTTCCTGTGGCCGGAAGAACGAAACCTCGCCGCACAAGTCCTATCCAACAACGAGGTAGCTCTCGCTTGGGACGAAACGGAAAAAGGACGTTTCCGTGACGACTATTTTCCTCCTGTCATTATCCCAACTATTGAACACACTCCCTGGGTTCATCGACAACCACCCATTCCCCCCGGCATTCGCGAAGAAGTCATCAAACTCATTCAGTCGAAGATAGCGTCGGGAGTTTATGAAGCGTCCAATAGCTCATATCAGTCGAGGTGGTTCTGCGTCGCAAAGAAAAATGGATCCGTACGTATTGTGCATGATCTTCAGCCCTTGAACGCAGTGACAGTCAAGGATGCTGCAACCATGCCCTATGTCGAATTGTTCGCAGAACAATGTGCAGGGCGCGCTATATACTCGATGATGGATCTCTTCGTCGGCTTCGACCACCGCGCGCTTGCAGAAGAATCGCGCGACATCACCACGTTCCAGACCCCTCTCGGAACGTTTCGTCTTACAGTACTCCCTCAAGGCTGGACCGACTCTCCCGCGGTATTCCAAAATGACGTAGCATTTATTTTACAAGCTGAGATAGAGATCGCCCCCAACTTTCAAGACGACGTAAACGTCCTCGGTCCCCGAACTCGATACGAAACACTTAATGGATCCTACGAAGTCCTCCCAGAGAACCCAGGTATCCGCAGGTTCATTTGGGAACATTGCCTTGACGCCAACAGAGTCCTCCACCGTCTCAAACACGCCGGCGCGACTGTTTCAGCAAATAAACTATTCCTGTGCGTCCCTCAAGTTCTTGTTGTAGGGCAACTCTGCTCCTACGAAGGACGCACACCGGACACAGCAAAAGTTGCCAAGATTCAGCACTGGCCGCCTTGCAACACGCGCACAGAAGTTAGAGCCTTTCTAGGCACCGCAGGTACCATTCGCACCTGGATTAAAGATTATGCTCGCATCACCCACCCGCTAACCAACCTTACCCGCGCTAATGTTCCCTTTGCGTGGACTCGCGAGACGCAGCAAGCCATGAATGAACTCAAAACCGCCGTACTCACCTCCCCTGCCATTCAGCCTCTCAACTATCACTCTTGCAATGAAGTCATCCTCGCTGTTGACTCCTCCTACATCGCGTGCGGTTGGATATTATTACAACTTGATGATGACGGTCGTCGGCGCCCCGCACGTTTCGGTTCAATTACTTGGAACGAACGGGAATCTCGCTATTCTCAGGCAAAAATCGAGTTGTATGGTCTTTTTCGGGCTTTGCGTGCGGCCAAAGTATGGCTTATCGGACTCAGGACATTCACCGTCGAAGTAGACGCCAAATATATTAAAGGCATGTTGAATAACCCGGACGTTCACCCCAACGCCGCAGTCAACAGGTGGATAGCGGGAATTTCCCTCTTCAATTTCAAACTCCGTCACATCCCTGGCAAACGACACAATGGTCCAGACGGTCTGTCTCGACGACCACGAGGAGATGAGGACTCTGACGATGAAGCCCCAGAAGACGTAGATGAAAGTATTGACGAGATTTTGGACAGTGGGATATGGGTAGCAAAGGAGTTTGACTGAGGGACTCGTGGATACGACGAAGAACGCACTGGTTATCACAATTTCAGCACCCACACCTAACGACACCCAGATCCCCTCTGATAACGTCTCTATGCAGCGCGACGAAGACCTTCGCATCATTCACTCCTTCCTCGACAATCTCTCATTTCCCTCGACTCTGTCAAACGCAACTCGTTCTCGCCTCACCAAGCGTGCCCACCAATTTTTCACACGAGGACGACGACTGTGGCGAAAAGAGTCAAGTGGACGCCATCAGCTGGTACTATTCAGTCCCGACAGACTACACATCTTGAAGGAGACGCATGACGAGTTAGGACACAAGGGTTTTTACTCCACTAGACGCACCATCTCCGATCGGTTCTGGTGGCCCGCACTTGATAAGGACTTAGCGTGGTACTTGAAGACCTGCCATCAATGTCAAACGCGCTCAGCCGAGAAGGTCGTCATTTCACCCACTATCTCCATTCCCGCGACTCTCTTTCGCAAAGCATTCACAGACACTATGTACATGCCCACATCACACGGATTCTCCTTTATCGTCCAAGCACGCTGCTCATTATCCAGCTGGCCGGAGTTTAGAATGCTGAGAAAAGAAACTGGACGCACGTTAGGTGCCTTTTTGTTTGAAGAAATCCTCTGCAGGTGGGGATGTATAGAAGAAATAGTAACGGACAATGGGACTCCCTTCATCGCAGCGCTAGATTGGCTCGCGCAGAAATATCACATCCATCATATCCGCATTTCGGCTTACAATTCTAAAGCCAACGGCATCGTCGAACACTCTCATCGCACGATTCGAGACTCACTCGTCAAGGCATGCAACGGTGACATCACCCAATGGCCCACGCTAGCCCACCATGTGTTCTGGGCAGATCGCGTCACGACTCGTCGATCCACGGGATTCTCACCATTTTATTTAGCCCATGGTATTGAGCCCTCACTTCCCTTTGACTTCGTCTTTGCCACCTTCACAGTTTCCCGATTTCACATGTCTCGTCTCAACACACTGAGCTTATCGCAGCCCGGGCTCAACGACTTCTCAAACGTGAAGACGATCTCCAACTAGCGCACATACGCCTTTCAAAAAGCCGCCTCGCATCTGTCAAGGATTTCGAACGGCTGTTTCGCAAATGTCATCCGCAATTATGCCTTTCAGCCTGGAGATTTAGTCTTAGTCCTCAACAAACGAATTGAGGCTGCGTCCAACGCAAAATGCAAACCTAGGTACTTCGGACCTATGATCGTCATCTCACGCTCGCAAGGAGGATCCTATCGTCTCGCCGAAGTGGACGGCAGCATATCAAAACTCAAGTTCGCTGCTTTTCATCTCATCCCATATCACCCTCGCTCCCCCTTGTCCATCGAAGTCACGCAGTTTATCGACCCTCAAGCACTCGCCGGCAATGACGACGAACAGACTTAGATGTGTTGCCTCATTTTATTTTTTCTATTTCTATCCTATTTTTTCTATCTTACTATGCATTACATCATTTAGTTTTATTGTTGGTAGATCGACCGAGGACGGTCGATATTCGAAGTTGGGAGGGGATGTAAGGATGCCATATCCTCTGCGCCCCGACCACTGCTTCACAGAAAGACTTACGGACCTTGTGTCCCGTCAGCCACGTGACTCGAAGGATGCGAAGAAACGTCACGCTTCGCATCCGAGTCACGCGGACACAATCCTCTTTCTTACTCTCATTAGCTCATTGTCGTCAACATCCCGCTCGGTCTTTCATCCATCGTTATACGATACCCTTACCATTACCAACTTGTGGACCCTTTTTTCTCTCGTTATATCTTCATATTTCCACCTCGCCGTACCCAGAGCAGTCAAACGAGCTACGAAACTCTCGTCACTCCTGCGCAAACCTTCTTGCTTACGAGCAACATTCATTCAATATTCTCGTACTCTCTTTCGCATTCCTTATTTCGACTCTGTCAGGATCGCCGCCACTCACTCTCCGTCTCTCCCTTTTCGGTTTACGCATACCGAGGACCCTTATCGCCTCATACCTTAAAAAGCACTCATGTACTTTGCCTCAGAATGATAACTTGTCGTCCCCCCATTGATTCAGGCAGTCGTTCGCTATAATACTCTAACCTCTCGTCCTTATAGAAAGATCCTACCATCACTAACATATCCTTTTCATCTCACACCCAAAGCACACATTCCCCTCAGAGCTCGAACCAGCCTTACACGAGCCAGAGCTTGTCCTCCAGCGTAAGGTCAATCGCCTTCGAAGGAGGCGCTTTTGGGCTGCGGGAGTTAATGACATTTTCGCTGTCGATCAACACGACAAGTGGCTAAGGTATGGTCTCGGCCTCCATACAGGCATCGAACCGTTCTCCGGTAGGATTATGTGGATGTGGGTATGGCACTCAAACCGGAACCCACAGCTGATCCTCAGCTATTATCTCGACACACTCGACACACTCGGGCGTAAGTACTCCCCCTGCTTTGTTCTTCACTGACATTAATCTACTTGCTGCTAGATATGCCCATGGTGACGCAAAGCGACCCAGGGTCGGAAAATTTCGGCATTGCTAATGCACACACAACGCTCCGCCAATGGCACGATCCCGCGCTACAGGGCACTTTGCAACATCGCTGGATGCGACATAAGAAGAACGTCATGCCCGAAATAACGTGGTCTCAAATGTGACGCCGGTTCACACCAGGATTCGAGTCACTGTTGGACCACGGAGTCATGTCAGGTTGGTACGACAGCAACAATATTCTTCAAATGTATGTATCTGATTCGTTCATCTCACTCCGAGTCTGATAATTGCTTTAGGATGGTGTTTCGATGGGTTTTTATACCTTGGTTGCAGCGGGAATTGGACGCATACCAGGACCGAGCCAATAACACCCGAAAAAGGCGAGACCGCAACAAAATTCTCCCCCATGGCGTACCAAACCTTGTCTACAATTCACCCGAGGATTTTGGTGCCTTGAACTTTAAAGTAGGCAACACCACGTCTGCTCGTTTTGTTTGTTCTTACTGTTTTTTTTTTTCACAGATCACAGTTGAACGCGAGGCATTAGATCACGTACGGGATCTCTACATCAATCCTTCTCACGTGGTATTTGACCTCGTTCCACAACCGCTCGGGACGCTCATACAGCGCTGCTATGAGGAACTTGGGTGCCCATCAGTCACAAGGCAGTCTGCTTGGGACATGTATCAGGGTTTGCTCGACGTGCTGCAGGTTCATGAAGAGATACCATCTGCAATATCTGTATTTGAAGATGTCGAGGAAGATCTCCCGCTGTTGGAGAACCAGCAGGACCTACCCTATCGCGAGGAAAACAACGGTACCTACTATATGGGTGGGGTGGGTGGTGGGCTCGGGCTCGGTATGTCATCTGCTCATGGCTATGTTGAGCACAGGGGAGCTGACATTTGCAGGTGACGGACATTTGCATCAGCTAGATAAAATTGCGCGGGAAGACGAGCCTGAAACTACGACTACTATTGATGAAAACATCGTCGGACTAGATCACGATGGTCTAGTCATATGGGAGTTTTCCGATGACTCCAACGACAGTGACGCAGGTGTGGTAGATGAATGGTGACTTACTTTTGTTGATATTCTTTGTTTTCTCGGACACTCGTGCTCTAGCCAGTAAGCTTGGTGTAGCAGTACGAACAGCAATTTTTTGATATACATTGGTTCAATATACGTGGTACATAATATTATTTCTTATCCACGTTGGCGGTATTCGTGGTCCTGCAGAAGCGTTGCCTGTATATGGAAATTTTTTATGAGGTAAGCGAGCACGAGTGTCCGGGCTTCCATAGTGCCGTAGGTTTACTAAGTGCCAGTGAGCCCTGTGAGGGTCAGCTAACGGTGAACGTAAAGAATAACAGAACAAGGCGGGAATATATTTAACAAACGTAGGCCCATCCATACCAGAACGTCAGGCTATGTAATACTGACCGGTAACCGGGAGTCCCACCCTGAAACATTTAGTTCACACACTGTCACCACTGCAAACCGTGTTCTCACCGGCTGGCGTACTGAGTTCTCATGTGTACTAATCATAAGTACCCGTCGCCCGACTCTTCATGAAGATTGTTTTGCCATAGTACGTTTCAATTCAGAAACATCAGAAACACTAATTACATCTTCCGCTCTCACCACTTCTTTACTGGTAGATTATTTTTTCCCAAATCGTCAACGCGCAGTTGCAGGGACACACCGCCTATTAGGTTGTCCCATAGGAATCAAACTGGGTTATGTCACTAGTAGCTTTCGTTTAATTTTACTCATCCTCCCTTCATCTCATCTGGAACCAGTTCCCTTATCTCTTCTCTCCGAGACAAAGCGACGGCCAAGTAACTAGTAGCGATTCACAGAATTCCGTTGCCAAGACCAAGTAGAACCCAAACACAGCAGGCGAATGGTGAACTGGACGGATCCCAACGTCATGCTGAAATGCAGCACTATTGTAGAACACACTAATTTCGTATGTCTTGGTCTATACGCGTAGGTATTGTTACTTCTCATGTTCAAGAGCACCTACTGACGGCTATGACCTGCAGGTGGGAGTATGCAAGATCGTGGCAAATTGAACTTGCCTTGGTATGCAGACGCATACCACCTAGATGGCCTCTGGTAAGTAACAGTTCGTATGCTTGTGTATTGTCACAGAAGTTCCAATCCTATCAGCTGCCATACATCATCGGTCGTATCCTTCTTCTGTTGTCCATGATTATGATGTGCGTATCTTATTCATCGACTGTTGCAGCAGACTCTCATGAACATTAGTTGCTGGCTCAGCAGTCCGACCTCCGCGAGCGTGAATTGCCACAGTGAATACTTCGTTAAATTTTAATCTACTAGACGTGTGCTCACGTTCATCATGACAGGCGCTTTTTTGGCTTTTACTGTGAGTGTGCTATGATGTATCGCCGATTCATCATCTTAATTGTTGTGAAAGTTTGCAGCAAATTCATCCATTGGTTGTTCTTCTCTTAATTTGATGTTGCGACCGTGAGTTTCAGTGAAATTTTTGATTGTTGAAGCCCTTCCTCAACATACACAGATTCATAATCTGGAGACCGTTCAAATTTATCCGTATATTTCTGGTATTAGCCACGATTGGCCACTGGATCGTCCTATTACGGGGTGAGTTGTATAAAGCAATACTGTAATTCAATCCTTAACGCCGCCATCACAGTAATGGTTGCATTCTCCGTCATGAAAATGAATGGCAGTTGTGGTTTCATGGTCATTGATCATGATAATATGACCACTATATTTGTCTACAGTGCGTTCCAGAGGCGTTGTTCCATTCCATCCCTGACGCCTTGCACAGCGATGGGTTATGATATACTGGCGCTTGTTTTGACTATAATCGGCCTCCGAAATATACCATCGTCTAATACAATGTGGGCAATGTTGCGTAAACAGGGGATAAAATATGTCTTGATCACCTGCTTTGCAAATATCATACCAGCCGTACGTGCTACTGAGCAGAATCCAAGATCCATCTGATTCAGTTTCGTGTCTCACCCAAAGGTTGTGGCTTCATTAAATCTGAATAGTAAGTGATGTTCTGTCATTTTTATAACATTTTGAAATTTATAGCACACTAGCTGCTATGAACGTTGTATTTGCGATGCCAGGTAAGTCGTTGCAGAGGCCTTTCAATCACTAGCTGATCATCGTCATCCCAGCATCTGCCATCAGGTCTGGATCTACATATGTTATCATGCTCGCCGTTTATTCAGCTACTTTATAGCACTATCGCATCCAGTCGAATAATTGTCGCTTTCCTAGACCTACAGTTGAGGTACGAGTGTCAAAATGATTGTTTTCAATCATATTCTCAACATTTCCAGCTCCTGCGTGGAAGAGATAAATAGTAGAGATGTGCCACTTACCACCGTGGTGACACTGCCCACGTAAGTTCTTGCTTTGAATTTTACCTTGATTGAATGATGGACATGGCACGCAGCACATCCTCTGTGGATATCCCAGACCTCGTATGATGTTTAGGACACAATCGGTCCATCAGTTTCTGATGACAAACTTGGGGAAGCGGTTCCTTGACAGTAGGGTATTACGGCCTTCACAGAACTGGCCACCCATAGACTGGGTTTTGGGACAGTAAAGAAGGCATCAGTAGACTTCGCCTCTTCCTCGTGCACTAGACTCCATTCTCTTGCTTACTTGACGATTTTGTCAAAGTAGGGAACTCGCAAATAAATTCTTCAACTTGTTTGGGGACGCCGCGGCCTTCTCGCGAACTACTGACATTTGTGAGCGTATCCCCCACCAACAGGATGCGAGGTGTGGGTACAGCAAGCAGCTTGCATCTGGATACCGCATGGCTGACCTATTGTGTGATCTCTCTGGTTCACAATTCGTCCCGGGTGCGACTCAGGCTAATGGGGGTTGATTCAGTTTCCATGGCTCAGTCAACACGTTCACTTCGCATCATCAACGATCGCCTCGCCCTAGGTTTAGGCCGCAGCTGGTTCCTGGATTGTGTGATCGGCAATACGTTCCGAGTCGTTCGAGTCCCTGAAGTACCTACTTATAATCAGCACGTAATCACGTCAGATCCCATTTGAACACCGTGTCAACTTGAATCTGGGAGCCTGAACTTCATGGGAGCCTGGGAAACGACGTGTGTTGGATTATATACGCTAAGAGTATCATGATCTATCTCGAGACGTTGGACGGCGAAACCTCAAGCGAGAATAACACATGCCCACTGGCACGTTCGCCGAAGCCAAGTTCGTCAGGTGCCGCATGCACTGGTTCCGACTATGAAGCTTTGAAGTCCTGAGCAATCTCAGTGGCTAGCTTTCGAGGTACCTCGGGATGATAGTTTCACTACGTAGTCGAAATGTTACCCTGCTCAGGTTATGCCTCCGAGTCTTGGAATTCAGGTTCATCAGTAGGGTAGATTGTGCTACAGAGTACTCCAGCAAATTATGTTTCCCCCATGTTGGCTGATATCGGGCAAAGATATTCCATAGGGTATAATCAATGCTTTTTAGCCAGCAGAACTGGTCTCTAACTACAGTTGAACGCAACATACAGTTAAACTACAACTCACCCAAACATTGTTGGTACCGAACCCAAAAGTACTACAAACTCCGCATCAGATGAAAAACCAGCGGAACACAAGCAACCCGTGTATATGCAACAAATAAAGATAAAAATAAAGATAAAGGGTATAACTACCATGGGATCACACCCTATTTGCCGTGAACTCCACTTCCCGAGCCATTTCGTTCAGAAGGAATGGAATATCGTCTTCGGCTATGCCACATTCCTGCAAGACTATCGTCCAGTTATGTTGCTCGTATCCTCGGTCTTGCTCGAGGCACTGCTTTACCTCACGGCGAACAACATGAGAAGCATTGCACAGCCGCAGAGCATTGTCTAGCTGAAAACTGAAATTATGGTTATGACTGGTAGACCGTTCGCGAAGTATAGGCGAATCGCGATAGGGAGCGGGAAAGTCGGCCCCTGAGTGTTCAGATGCGTTATAAGAACCTTCCCGGCTGGGTAAAAACATGCTAGGAATGTCCGTCTCCGAAGGGCAATGTTCCATGATGACAAGCGGTTGATGGGGTAGATCTTTTCCCGTCTGTGGTGGATGACTGATTTCGCCTCGAGTGATCGTAGATGATTGTAAAGAGAATTCAGGATAGAACATCACAGGTGTACGAGGTCTTGGATGACTAGAATGCGAACTAGAAGAGCTCTTGGAGTCAGACGAAAAGGGTCGATTATTGGCCGGCGGAGGCAAGTTAAATTGCGGAATATGCGAATCATGGCCGTCAGTTGCATCTAGTGGAAGATCGGGGAGGGGGGACGTCGGGGGTGGAGTAATGAATGCAGTTCGGAGTTTTCTTGCAGAATGAGATGGTGATGATATCGACGATGATGGGAGAGTAGAGGAGCGAGAGCGACCGGAACTTGTTTGAAAAACATACGGTGACAGTACGGGCAACCTTCCTGGGGCATTGGTGGGTGGCAGCGAATGTGTCCTCAACGAAGTCTTGTACAAAGCCTCCTCGGGTTGTATCCAATCCTCCTCTATTATGGAGGGGCCTCCATGTTGAATGGACGAATAAGACGATTGTACCCAGCTTTTTGGGGAGGAGGGACCAGGACTTGGAGTTGCAAGGTCTTGCAGGAGCGAAACGCTCTGACGACTGTCAAGGCGAGCCGAATCACGGCGGACAAAGTCGGGTAGGGGTACATCGGGTGATCGTGGAAGGCAGGTAGTTGCTCTAGCATCTCGGAAAGCGGTGTGCAAAGTGATGTCATTGATGAACTACGTGCAGGAAGTTATGTTAACAGAGGGCGGCGATGAGGAAATCTCAAGGCCACCAACTTTCAATTCCAGTTGCCGCAATTTTTTCAAAATGTGTTCTGTCGGTCTTCCTTTCTCTTGCTTTCGTGCTATGTACCTTGTAAGAGCTTGCCTAGCCTTGTCAGTGTCAGTCCCGCAGTTGGCAAGCACAGTGATGACCTGACGTAGTTATTATGTACGAGTATGAACACGGGGACAGGATAACTCACCTCCATTTGGGAATCACCGTTGAAGATAGTGCTCATGTCACTACGGTAGTGCTTCTGCTAGTATTAGCCGGTTTTGATGGAAGTGGATGGTATGATGATAGTGGGGAGGAAAGTGTGCCAGTGTTTGGATTGCCTATAGTATGCATCAACCGTTTATGAGCGATTTGAAACCTTACCGCAGTTTGCCAGATAACCCACCAGGCGGTATGCCAGGACCCACCAAACGCCGTACCAATACTAAATTACATCGACGCACGTTTGCCGATGCAGAAATCAACATCTCTTGTTTTGAAAATGGTCGTCGCGGAGCTCATACACCTTGAGTACCTGCTCCTGTGCACGTGGCGGGTCATCAAGCCTCTTGTACGCGGACCTTGAACCTTTTTCCTAATTTGGCTACCTCCAAAAGTTTACTGGAAGACACTCTGCGAACAACTTGATCATGAGGCTAGAACCGTGTCTCCCATGTGAAGGCTTAATCAACGCAGTGGTCTGCATTCGAGCAGATGGCCGTCAATATTGACAACGACTCGGACATCTTGGAATCGAGCAGCCCTTGAATCATCATCAATGAAACTGGCTTGAAGGTTCAACGTTCAACGTTCATGACCTTTATCCAAGCATTTACAGCACGTTCGTCTGTATTTGCTGCACGTCTAATAATAATGTTGGGTTTCAGGCCTCAACTCAAGGGTTACTTATCAGCTGTCAGCACAGTGCTACGGAATCTTCGGAAGTGTCCCGGCTGCCACTGTAAGCGCGCAGGACAAGGACTACGTTCTCGTCAGAGGACCTTGGAACTACAAATTAAGGCACTTACACGGGTTATAAATTCGCGACCGAAACCTTTGGTTCGGCACCACGCGTCCAGCTGAGCGGTTGCGCGGCTCGTTTCCTTCACTCGTTTCTTTTCTCTCCACCACGAGATCGAGTTCGTCGTTCACTACACTCCTCACTCACTCGAACTGGACATTCCGGAAGGCTACATTTCCCAGCACCTGAACATATCATGATGCACCCTGTGACTGAAATCCCAGCTGGTAAAATATATTCCACCGTATCCGGATCTTCAGCTTGGCGGAACTTGAACATGACAACTTGACAGAACGTTATGGTGCCCCTGAACTCATTGTCACTTGCCCTTGGATCCACTGTAGTTGACGACGGGAACGGAGTAGGGTCACGGTCAGGACTGATGAAACCCGTTTTTCCAGAGACTACAGGGCCTGTGATGCACATCAATTCAGCACAGAACTACGTAAATATGATGTCTACATACTGATGATCAGTCAGACGATTGTCAATTCCCACAGAGCTCCATAATGGGCCCGGCATGAAAATAGAGAACGTTGGAGTGACCCCTCACGTAACCTGGAATTATTTTGAAACCCATGGGCAGAATGGCAGAAATCGGTAAAATTGTTTCGAATGTTTGTCATGATTGTGTTATGGGTGAGGGAGTTTCCGCTGACAGGCGATTGAGCAACTGAATGAGAACGAGCAAGGAATGAGTGACTGTATCATAGTGGTCCATCCGCACTGAGTAATTACCGGGATCGCATGTCAAGACTGTAAAAATTGTGCGTGCACGTGATTCTAAGAACTTAATTATAATATATAAGCCAGTGGCAAAGTTGACAATGTCGTTCCTTGAATCTGCGGCCGTCTATCCTCTTGATCTGCTACATTTTTATGTGTTTGAAACTGACATCGCTGCCCAAGAATAAATCAAGGGAAGAAATGGCAGCATCTCATACCACCTACTATGCAGGCATAAAATACGTCGACATGAATTTGACCAATCAAATACAAGTACTACGCATGTCGACTCACCCAAGTGTACTGCATCACACCGAATCATCGTGAGTCGCGAGTCATCTACCCTGTCAATCATATTCAGCGAATTATCAGAACAAAGAACAATACGCTCAGGCTTACGTTAAAGAAATCGCTATGGTACTTCCAGTCAGATAGACAGACAAGTCTGACGTTTCTTGTCCTCTACATGCTCAGCAACAGCAGCCAACACTAGAGAAATTTCTACGGGAGTGACTCCGCGAGAAGTGGCAGTGTTCCGGTACCTGGGTCGCCTACAACCCTCCTTCAGCCCCGGCAAGTTCTGAGCCAGTAACATCCACAAGCCTTCCGACGAATTCCCCCTTGATGTGAGCGAGGGTCTGGTCAAACGACGACCCTGATTCTGCGCCTCCGTTTGTTTTGATGATACCCTCGATCAGTTCGGGAGAAATGGGAATTATCCCGCGAACTATGAATACAGAGGGCAACGGATATCTAATAAAGGAAGATAACAAGCAAACAAAGCCTCTTTGGGTGCAGTACTCATCTCAGCGCGTGAACGACAGAGGTGCAACACAACAGAATCAGCAAAGGTGCGTCTCCTTTGGCTGAAAAGGTCGGCGAACCGCCTCGGGCAAATCAAAAAGGAATGTGGAATCATGGTCTTTGGGAAGGAAAATACGCGGGATCATCGCTGACCACGTGGGTGACATACAGTGCCTAGTAGTAGTATCGACCGTCATCTGAGAAAACTGAGGATATCCGGTACTAGACCATACATACGATAGATATACACAACGAAGTCCTATAGTGTACGTAGTGTCCATCATCGGGCCCCGCCCCACAGGACGATAAACAGACATTCAAAAAAAATGGGTATTTTATTAACGATCACAGTCTATGTAGGAGATGCGAGGTCAAATTCTTCATGATTAAATTCAGGCCGATAGATACTGCTCCTGCAAGTGCTTCGGGAGTTTGTTGAAGAATCTATTCATATATGAAATCGAAAGCTCAGCCATCAAAATCCGATAGCTTACATTATGGCCAGCTCCGGGGACCCTTTTCACAGACGCTGGACATCTTCCCTGGGAGACGTCTGTCATGCAGTCATGGAAATAAGATGGACTGGTAGAAGGGAGAAAATCAGGAGAAGCTGAAATCTGAAACCACTGATACTGCTTACACGTAATCATGAATGGTTCCGAACACAATATGTACAGGAACCACGCGGCAAATGCGGGTATACTGGTCGGTAGCTTCAAAATGGCTTTCGGTGTCCTGATAAGCAAGAGCTTCATGATGCAAGTCACATTTAAAAGCGACTTTCATTTCCTTTTCGCTCCCATCTTGTATACTGACTGAATAAAACCCGTGTTGCTAGATACGACCGGCTGCTTGATGATTCAAAATTCGTAGATAACATGACCACTCACTTTGAAAACATCAAATACCTCCTGATCGAATTCTGCCCAAGGCTTCCGTTTTCGACAATATTTGGCTGCCTCCTCCAAAGTATCAAACACATTACGTCGACGGAGAGTGGCACTCATGCTTTTTCTTACTAATGCTTCTCTTTCCATCAGGTGAGACATCCACAATTCGCGCGTAAGCATCGAAGGTTCAAGGAGAAACACTGCAACAAATGGTTGATTACACATGGGAAATGCACGTGTGGAGAGTATTCTAATGTTGAGGTCAGCTTCTACGAAAAATGCGGGAAACAGGGTGGCTGACATCGCGCTGGAACCCGCAGAGTGCCCAAATCCAACTAATCTATGGTCACTGAGAAACGGTGATTTTATAAAGGACGCAATCGCCGCTGCCCATTCCGCTATAGCTGGTGTAGGTGTGAGGAGAGTGACAAGGATTCCGTTATGGACTCACAAACGTCCCCCGGCGAGCGGCGCTCGAGTGCAGCCTTGTTGATTACAGCGGCGTCCCCGTGGTTCAACCAGTCGAAACACCAGGCCTCACGTATACAACTTGGCTGCTGTAAATTATGGTGGGAGAACAGATACCGGAGCATCGGTTCCCAGTGCTCCTTGTCTACAAAATCTACGACAGTCAGCCGCACATTTACTTCAGAAAACACCAGCATACTGACGCGCACCAACTCCATGCGCAAATAGAATTGTCAGTCCTTTGGAGTCTGAGAAGGGGGTATAGTATCGTTTAGCGGTCATCTTCAGTCCAGGCGAACCATGACGTGGAGGTGTATCCAACACAAACAACTCAGATCTGAGTTGTAGAGAGGACATAGACGATGATAGATAAGAGGAAAAATGCAGCCCCCATCACTTGCATGTTAGATATTGAAATTCATAGACTGTTACCATCACCAAAAGTGACAAAAAAATTACCGCCATTGGCAGAACACTAGGCCAAAATCAGGTTCCTCCCGTACCTTATCAAAGGGGTGGTCTCCGAGTGCGGTAGTGGTTAGTTGACCGGCAACATACCCAAACTTTATCCCCCGACCTCTGGCACGAAACATTTGTAAACAAAGGTCAGCCACCAGCGGAGACGCCGAAACTTTGCAAGTCCTAAAGTTGTCCTAAAGGCCTAAACCTTCGAGTCGTCATCCTTGAGCATTTGTAAGTCTTAAACCTTGCCCAAACCTCTTGATAAATCCTAAGCGTTGCCAGTCGAAGCAAGTACTCATAAGTATCTCAATCCCATAGGCCTAAATCTTTGTGATAAGCCCTTGTCACCAAGATGAGCCCGAGTTTTTCAGGCGAAAACCCACTACTGCCATGACAGAAATGATTTTCGTGCTAACAGAAACTCATTTCAGTAATGGCCATCTAACGTCCATTTGGGACCCACCAGGAATCATTGGGTCACCTTAAGTTACCCATTCATCAAGTTGAAGTCTTTGATAGATTATTTGCAGAACAACGTGCGTAGTACTCACCGCTAAAGCGTTTGAACAATCGTCGATCAACACTAAGTGAATTCCAAGTATATCGTGTATATCCAGAGTTTTTAATGAGAATGTGTCAAACAGGAGCGATGAGCATGATCGGAGTAACACAAACATACAGTAGCAGCAAGCTCCTCTGACAATTTTGAATGGACGATGATTCAGTTTTGAAGGAAGTGACCTCTGTTTTCTATTCACTCGCATCCCGTTTGCGCTTCTTGGTCTTCCTAGTGTCGACCCGAGAACTCGATGCTACCGTAGTGTGAGCTCCATTGCCACTTGCTGCCACAGCTCTCGCGGCGCTATCTGGCACCTGTGGAACAAAACCAGGCAAGTCATCTGCAGAACGCGCGTGCGTTATCCAGAGTTCCGGGTCAGAAAAATCGATCGCCCTGCCACGCGAGGGACCGGCGGCAGCGGTTGCTGTGGTGGAAGGATAGTGACGAGGGTAGTATGTCCCAGTAGAAGTACGGCCAAAAATAGTACTATTCGTGGTGGCGTTTGCATTGCTCTCTGCAGTGGCGATCTGGTTCGTATTATATTGAAAATAGTATGCATGTGAAAAAGCAGCGACTACTACCTTGTCATCAGCACCGCCCGATTTATTCCTAGATCTGGGAACACTTTCAGTGGGGACGCGTGCTTCCGTGGACGTAGCGGTAGTTGAGATTGAGATTGCCGTATGCGAGGACGTAGTACTAGCACTAGCAGATCTATCCGAAGGGTCGCACCTTACATCAGTGGAGCCTATGGCTGCTGTTGACGCACTTGCAGGTGGAACTACTGTCGATGCAGAGGCAACAGGGCGCGGGCGGGCGGGTATGACGATAGTGATGGGAGCCGATGCGCCACCACTCTGACCCTGACAACGCCCTCGACTGTTGTCTCTATTACCCCTTGTACCCCTAGCACGCAAATAGAGACGACCGCCTCTAACAGGGGCTGCTTGTGCCTGTGCCGAGTCCTGAGCGCCAGTTGTTGCCTCCAACAGCGTTGCAGTGGTATTCGCACGTCCGGCAATGTCGAGTACTGGTGATACATGTCGCACGGACGCTAGCTTCACATTTGAGCTGATGATAGGACCAGTGATCGCTTGTTCCGAATTCCAATCAATTGAGATATTTGAGTTAGCTGTAGACCGAGATGCTGAGTGGGTGTTAGTGGGAGTTACGGGGATGCGAGAAGGCATCACTCTGCCGCACGTGGGACATTTGACACCTGTAAACACGACTGAATCTGCCTCCACTTTGCGTAAGATTCCATGAATCCCACTGAGAGGTGTATCATACAAGCTCCCATTGTTAGGCGTATGATAAATACTGGCAGAGGGTGTGTACACCACCACACCCGCTGTAGAAGGGTTGGGAGTTGTATCGTTCTTCAGTGTAACTTGAGAGACGGTCTTGTGCTTTTCACATCTCGAAGTCGTCGAATCCTGATCTTTCTTCGCTTGTTCTTTCTTCGCCTGATCTTTCTTACGCTGGCGAGCTCTGTTCTGCTTCTCACCTTCGTCTAGTGCTGCTGCCTGCGCTTGTTTGGAAACCTTGACTTGTCTGCCAAATCTTGTCGTCACAGAAAGGTCCACAGGAAGGTTCAATGGTGACCGAGCTGCAATGCAAGGTCATAAATCAGTATCCAACAACCAGTATCTCAGAAATGACTTACGCCGGTGTTGCTCAAGGGTATGGTGAATACGAGAACTGGACTCCACAGCAAAAGGCAATTGCTGACTCATCTCGAAGTCTGATGAAAAGAAGTCAGGCATGGGTTTAGAACACCAATCGAGCCATCCAACCATATCCAAACGCAAAGTCCTCAATATCCAGGCTAGAGGCTCCACGACCATGCATGTTTCCAACTGCTGCATCTGCGATACTATCAATAAGTTTGGTATGGGCTTCATAGAAAGTGTTCGTAATAATCGTCAAAAGCTAGAAGGGGCGATCATACTTAGAGCTCGAGGTATTTTTTGAAAGTGGCTCTTACCACAGGTATTTCGGTTCCCACATTTGACATCCCAAAACGCGCGCGAAAGTACTCTGTCGCCCATCTGTGCACGTCCGTGAAGTTCTCGATCAATTGAGGACCAAGCTGACGAGATGGATCAATAGTATGATTCTCGAGGTGGTTACGATTGGCAAGCAATTGCAAGGCCCCTTGGATAAATTGAGAAGGCTCGTTAAGCTATAGAACCGTCAGTGGGGTGTCTACATGACATGAACAGAAAAAACTTACCGATACATTAACCCTCTGACCGAGCGGCAGAGGAATTTGCCTGTTGGCATAATCCTGTAGGATAGGCCGAGTATGTGCAACCCATTCATCAGTTGACTAGAAGCCGAGTCGTGATATGCAACAATCAGATAGAGCGACACAGCTCACAGAAAAATCGGGTAATGGATACAATAGGCTCTCGTCGTCCAACGAACCAAGATCAGTTTGATGTTGATTAGAAAAGAATCGTTCTTCTATCAAAGCTTTTCCCTTGCCCTTTGCGGCAGCAGACAATCTCCCGTGCGCATTCTTTCTAGGTGGCGAAATAAATTCCTGAAGTGTGGGCTGCAACAGCGGTGGAAAAATGGTTGGCGGTATGCTTTGACTAGATGAGCCAATGCCACCAGGCGAGGGCTCACGTGGTGGGTCAGGAAGATCGGTGGAGTATACGTTGTCACACATGTCACCATATGGCATGAAAGCTGGTGTTGTGGCATCGGAAGAATCGTGAGAGTAGTATGGATCTGCGCCTGTGATGGGTGATACTGACATAGGATTGACGTCAGGCTGGCATTCCTCATCCTTACTGATCGAGAAATCTGGGGTTGCTCGTGATGAGGTAGATGACGCAAGATGATCTACGTTTGGGGCAGCGCGTTGGACACGGTTTCTTCTAACCATCTTGTGAGATTATTGATAATGAAAATGAGTGGTTCTGTCTGCTGAATGAAACTCATACTTATGAAAGGCCAAGTGCTGTGGAACATCAGCACGCAAACATGTTGTCTGTTTCAAAAACAAAGGTGCAAGACCTTGATTCGGCGTGAAAGAGAGCTTTAAACAAAGGGAAGAATATCATGTTACTGGATTGAAAAGGTTTGAACGGTGCCGCTATACAATGAATTTGCATTGTCTGTGATCGTGTAGACGCAGCCTGAGGACATAAATGAAGCGTGTGAACTTCATCAGTATATTCAGAATATTTTGATCTGATCATAGGATATCCGACCAGATGTCCTCCCCAAATCAGCCTCGAAATCCAGCTTTGAACTCCCCGTCGCATTTAGGATGGGATGAAGGAACCATGCGATAGGTGGGCATACACTTGAAACTGGGTACGTAGTCGTTGCAGCAGGACATCACTCGGCCTAGCGCTGACTCACCGTAGCGTGAATCGTCTCATACAGGACAACCCTGAATCACCGAGGTGGAGCGCCGCGTTTTAATGCTTGAGCATTTGCAGAGTCTGTAAAATAAATCTGGAGGGAGGTAGAGGCGGAGAGTGCACGTACAGGTGAGGCGGACATACTCTCCGAACCATTTGCCTTGCAACATGTATTTAGGATAAAGGAAGCACACGACAGATACGCATGCACGCACTTGGAACCGGGGATCCATACGTTACAACTAGCAAGCAATGGATAATCAGTACGTGCTATGTATTTAGCAAGATCGGAGCAAAATCCACGGGAACCTCAGCCCGAATTTCAACAGAGCTGCATGTCTTCTCATTATAAAACTTCTTCCGAGTATAGTTTCAGTGGTAACGAGAACAGGTATAAAATTAACGCGGCTGAGTTGAAAAGGTCTCAGACATTGAACGCCTCCTGTTGCGGTGAGTAGCCCTCTTGACACCATCATCGCATTTCATTGAACCGACATATAATAGCTCTTCCAAGACTTTGTCCGAGTCATAGCAACTTCACGCACATTGGGCAATCAGACTTTTGTCGGTGTGTGGTTTCCTCACATGGTCACATCGTAGGCTGATGCACAGTTATACCAGATACAATCCATACCATGAAGCTCGTTCAAATCGTTTATCTCACAATCCTTGCCACTTCCAGTACTACTATGTTTACCCCAGTGGCAGCGATGCCTCCGAGTCGTGAAGTAATATTCTGTGTATCATACGGCAAAACTAAGGAGGATTTACATTGCACACAAGGGAAATTTAAAATCGCTATGTGTGCCAATACTGCCAGAGGATGGATTTGGAGATGCTGTGTGCCGCCGCTTCATGTATCACCAGATAGTACCTCTTATCACTGTATGAAGTAGGAACAATGAATTTCAGCGGTTCGAGCACTGAGCCAATGAGCCTCAATGTGTGTGCAAGGCATATTATGTACGTGCTATAATTAGACCATCCAGGAGGCTGGGTCTGCGAGACTACATATGCTCTACATAATAATAGGGTCTAAGAGACCTTTATTGATACCGAGAAGTAATGCCTGAGGTGTTGAAAGATGATTCGAGTGGCGCGCGTCTTAGACCAGGAGTATCAAGGGACGTGGTGCATCATTCTCCTATTTTCTTCGCGATTAACATCAGGCTTCCTGGTTACGAAATACGGGTTTATTCACCTATACGACCTCTCTGTCTTCAAGGACCATCTCAATCATGGGGCTAGCTTCTTCAAGGATGGTTTTATCGATCTCATCACGGTGTTGCGATGTGAGTGGTAGGGGTGTCACGATCCTGATGTTGATGAACCTGACATGGTGCCGAGCGTGTCGAGTCCTTTCAAAGGGATTAATGATTCAAGCGGCGCATCTGAGACTACTGCCCTGATATTCCGGTAGGAGAAGTGAGAGACAAAAATGAGATGATGGTACGTGATCAAAGTTGCTATAGTAAATAAGCGCTCACTAGTGTCTTCCCTTCGTTAACTGATCAATAGATCAACTGCCCTAGTGATCCCACATCAAGCAGTCTATCTTAAATGTCACCAAGTTCGTAACATCTCCCGTGCGGTGCGGAGCGTTTGAATTTGTCAAGCATCTGTCACCTAGTACCGCTAGTCCGCGACACAGCCTAACTCGAAAGCCGTCCTCAACTCGAATTTCCTTCTATGGTCTGAATCCTATATCTTTATGCAAGTTAATCATTTGGTACCAATCACCGACTCTCATGATGGCAGTTCATAACGCTCACAACTGCGACTTTCACAGCCCAGGTTTCCTATGCATGTCAGTAACCGCCGGGACGGATAGCACAGCGTCACCTGAAAGGAGAGAATGCTATATATAAGGTCCGTTTTCTGCGCCTGCATTTGTCGTCGCGGTTTCCCCGTTTCCTCACCCAAGAACACCTTTAGCTTCTTTCGTCTTGTGTTATCACTTATACATTGTGTATTCATAGGGTGCAGGCCATCTTCTTCCAGGTCATCTGTATGCTAGCCACTACTATGACCTTCAGGATCTCGTTCTCCGACCTCCTTTTCTTTACTCGTAATGCGAGAAAAGCGCCTCTCATCCCAGAGGGTTTCGTCCTCGAAAAACCTCTGGAGCGCAAAGCTACGTCAATCCAGCTCAAGCCGGAGTCTCCAACATTCCCCTCAGCACTTCCCACCACTTCCCAATCACCAGTACCTTTGCCCGCATCTCCCACCCCAGAGACACCCTTGATGCCAGTCTTTTCGATAGGAAATCCAAGCACGGAAACTCTTGTGAACGTTGTTTCACAGCCCGGGTCCCCAACTCCAATTCTGCAACTCTACCCGCCTGCTAACGAAGCTGTACAGACGCGACGCATATCGTTCGCAGATTGTGCCACGCCCTCGCGCTCCGTGAAGCCTGTCAATGTTATTGACGTGGGCCAGGTCTCGTACAAGCCCTCCGCAGCCGCAGCGGAAACACATGAGCAAGCAAAAGCTTTCAGAGAGGACGTTCCCGACATGGAAAAGAAATCAAAGAGAAAAAGCATCATGCGGAGCACAAAGGCACACCGCTTCTCGGTTCCTGTCTTTTCATCGCTGACGCATCTCACGAATAAGCGGGCAAGTAAGCGGCCATAGACAGCTCAGTCCAGGGGCGAGGGGAAGAAGACCCGGTTGTTGCGATAGCCTGGGAAGTGAGTTCCGCAGAAAGGCGCACTGATGTGAGATATGGTTTGGCACCACGCATGTGTTTGATTGTATTCTATCTTATGATATCTGTAAACTACTAATTACGCGTATTTTCTATGACATGTTACCTTATGCATGACATGCAAGCTATGTCGAGACACTGTGATTCTATGGTACACGATGGACATAAGAGTGTTAATCTGATATCATACAGCTGCACTGGTATAGGTCTGCTGCGCATATCGGCAGCTGTTCTGGATTCGCTACTAATAATGGCAGCATATCCAGAGGCTGTAGGTACAATCAATAGGGGTGACAGGAGAAGGAGCGAGAGCGGAGACTTATGCAGGACAGCCTAGGATTCCGAATTGATGACTGCAAGAATGAGAGGTATCGCTCCTCCCGAACCTCGGGCCTCAGTGCGCGGTGCATCGCTGGAAAAGATAACGGAAATATAAACTCGGTTAATGACCGCAGAAAACAGATGGGGGCCAGCGCTAATCACAGGGGGCCTCACACGAGTGTGATCGAACGCATGAAAAAAATACCGGAAGCAGCAAGGAGCACAAAGCAATCAACGAGCATAAAACCTTCACTTTTCTTTCCAACAAGACGGGGGCGTCACAAGCTAAATAACATCAATAAGGACGACCACTCAATAACTCACTTTCTTGCAGTCCAAACAGTGCAATCGCATTAGCATTACACATAGATCGCCTGACCCAAAATATCGGAGAAAGGAGAGCAGTACATGATTGGTGCAACACCCAACGGAAAGGTTGAGCACGGTCGAGGTGAACTGAGTTCGACTGACAACTTCGGGACAGATAAGCTGAGGTCAAGCTGCCTGGGACTCGGCCAACTCGGCCCGTCTGGTGGCTGAACATAGACCTATCTTCGAGCTAAAATGATTGATTCTGAGACGGGGCCGCCGCATGTGAGAGATATTTGTATACAAGGTGTCCTCGGGTTTCGAGTAGTACCCGATAATTGCCCGATAATGTTTGTTTTGAGGTGTTGATTTTTCCTAGCTTGCGCTCGTATCCGATGCCAATTCCACACTCCTTCCTTCGACACCTCCTCCGCTCGTCACTCAACCTGCATGCATGTGCTGTGACTCGTGTGTACACTCGGAGTGCGGGCTTCAGTCAGCCAAGAGTCCATGTCAATGTCAATAGCCGTTAGAACTCTAATCGATATATCGAGCTAACTTGACGCGTCACATGAAAGGTCATCGATTATTCGGGAACTCGACTTCCGTCCAATTGTTCCGGCATATATATTATATCAATAAGGACAATGCAGTTATAAGCAAGCTTATCTTTTCCCTCGACCCCCAATCACTTCATCATGCCAACTGTGCAACCTCCATGCAAGGTTCTCGTCTCTGGCGCGAATGGCTATATCGCGATTTGGGTCGTGCGTACCCTTCTCGAGAAGGGGTATTCTGTCCGTGGAACAATCCGGTCCGAGGAAAAAGCAGCACACCTCAGGCAACTGTTCAGCTCGTATGGTGATAAGCATGAGGTCGTCGTCGTTGAAGATATCACAAAGGTGCTTATAGACAAGAAAGTCATCGCGCGGGACCTTACTGTGATATATTTGAAATAGGAAGGAGCCTTTGACGAGGCAGTTAAAGGTGTTGATGCTATTGAGCACACAGCCTCCCCCTTTCACCTGAATGCGGATGACCCGGATGGTACATCAACACGAATCAATGCCTTGATTTTTACTCACCTGTTCTTAGAACTCATCATTCCCGCAGTCAATGGCACAGTTGGAATCCTGAAGAGCGCTCTCAAGCATGGGTAGGTGCTTCGTCGTCGCCTAAAGCCGTGCACTGTTAATCATATCGCATCAGGAAATCTGTCAAGCGTATCGTGATTACTTCATCGGGAGCTGCAATTCTGCGTGACACCACAACGCCGTGCACTTTCTCCGAACTGGACTGGAACGAGCAATGTCTGGAAATTGTAAGGGAAAAAGGTCGCGAAGCCCCTAATATGATGAAGTACCGTGCTTCAAAGACTCTCGCTGAGAAAGGTACGGGGTATCAAACATACTCATCATAGGCGGCGATTCTCATATCCCTACAGCGGCTTGGGAGTTCTGGGAAAAAAATAAGGCCAATGTCGGCTGGGATCTCACTGTCCTTAATCCACCTTATGTGAGTTTTTTTTTCGATGTCGGGAGGTCAACCAGAACTCACCCACCCATTTCTCAATGATAGGTCTTTGGGGTATGTCAGAAACGTGCTGCTCGTTGTATTTCCCCCAATTAATTTCACTTCTTCCATGATAGCCCGCTATCGGTGCGGTCCCAGCACCATCCGCATTGGGCACGTCCTCGAAATTGTTCTACAACCATGTCGCCCATCCAACCTCCAGTGGAGCATCAAACGAGCTTCTTGCTTCTGTCGGTACAGCCTGGATCGATGTGCGCGACCTTGCCGAAGCGCATGTCGTCTCGCTCGAGAAGGAAGCTGCAGGCGGCGAACGAATTATCGTTAGTGCAGGTATGATAATTCCGTTCATCCAGCAATGATCAGGCACTTACCTTTTTCCAGGACTTTGGAAATGGCAGGATTTCAGTAGGTGCAATCCGTTGCCGCTGCTTCATCATTCACATGGTATTTTGTAGTTGACGCTGCTAACGCGATCTCGCCGCCACCGAAACTCGCAACAGGTGGTCTGCCGAAGGGCAATCCCGGTACTGGTACTGGACACCCCTCCACGGTACACCTTCTTCACTACAACACCACGAAGGCTGCACGAATCCTGGGGCTCAAGTACCGTAGTATAGCAGAGACGACGAAGGACACGCTGGCAGACTATGAAGCGAAGGGATGGTGATATGTTTCATATCAAGAATTTGAGGCATTTTTTCGCTCCTTAATTGCTTTTGCGTCATGCTTTTCTGAATGGACTTTTTTCTCCTTGATTTGTGATGCAAAAAGTAAACCAAGTCGAAAATAAGTGAGAATTCAGACGACAAGTGGCCTTTTTCCACTTCGAAGCCACTTACTTTAGCCTTTGTTTATTTCACTTTATTGGGTGTGAAAAAGCGACAATAAGTCAAATTAAGTAACTTGTCGTTTTCCTGATGGGCTTGCTACTAGCAAGCTACCTTCCATTCAGTGATGAAAGGAATTGATACATTCATTCTGCCACCAGTGGTAGACCAAGTTACATCGGCGGTGGGATTCAGAACGAACACCTGTTGAGGGCAAAATTATGACCGAGAGGTTCAACTAATTTAGCTACTGGGGGACACGTCATTTCCAAACCCGTCCATATTTGGCAATATAGACTTGCATAGGCTCTCTCCCTGGGTTGCACTTTCCTGTCAAAGTGTTCTTATCGCCTTGGACAAATGGTGGGTATGAGTCACAAAAGGGAAAATAATCCGTCGCTGCCAGTGCCACTGGGGTGAACATGGCACTGGGAGTGGCAAGGATTGTGAGATAAACAATTTGAACGAGCTTCATGGTATGGATTGTATCTGGTATAACTGTGCATCAGCCTACGATGTGACCATGTGAGGAAACCACACACCGACAAAAGTCTGATTGCCCAATGTGCGTGAAGTTGCTATGACTCGGACAAAGTCTTGGAAGAGCTATTATATGTCGGTTCAATGAAATGCGATGATGGTGTTAAGAGGGCTACTTACCGTAACAGGAGGCGTTCAATGTCTGAGACCTTTTCAACTCAACCGCGTTAATTTTATACCTGTTCTCGTTACCACTGAAACTATAATCGGAAGAAGTTTTATAATGAGAAGACATGCAGCTCTGTTGAAATTCGGGCTGAGGTTCCCGTGAATTTTGCTCCGATCTTGCTAAATACATAGCACGTACTGATTATCCATTGCTTGCTAGTTGTAACGTATGGATTCCCGGTTCCAAGTGCGTGCATGCGTATCTGTTGTGTGCTTTCTTTATCATAAATACATGTTGCAAGGCAAATGGTTCGGAGAGTATGTCCGCCTCACCTGTACGTGCACTCACCGCCTCTACCTCCCTCCAGATTTATTAGACTCTACAAATGCTCAAGCATTAAAACGCGGCGCTCCACCTCGGTGATTCAGGGTTTGTCCTTTATGAGACGATTCACGCTACGGTGAGTCAGCGCTAGGCCGAGTGATGTCCTGCTGCAACGACTACGTACCCAGTTCGAGTGTATGCCCACCTATCGCATGGTTCCTTCATCCCATCCTAAATGCGACATTATTGATTTGAGTGCTTCTTCTGCATTGTACCAAGGTCTGTAGTACCGCAGTCAAGCCAAATCATCTATAACAGAGCCCGCAAATCACAGAATAAGCCTGCCCCTGTTGATGGTGTAAATCTTGGTGTATGTTCATTAGAGTTGCATTGAAGTATAAATTTTCACGATTTACCCTAGGATCCACTGAATACAACCACGGCGTGACTCGTGATATCAAAAGGTTTCATGTACGAATCCTAAAAATGATATCAGCAACATCTTTTGAACGTCTTCGGTGATTCGATCGTGACCAGTACGCTGCTTACCCTCATCACATGTGTTCAACATACCTTCTTAAATTCCGATGTCTGAACACCTAGATTTGCGTATGCCACCGGTTTGAATTGGCCCTCAAAATGTCAAGTCGTATTTTTAAACCGTGTAAGTAGATGTTTGTTGACGCCTATTAGGATTAGAAGCTGTTAGAAAATAAAGCCAAACAGCCGTACTGGTGACTCCACATGAGTCGGCCATGAGCCATATTACATCAATCAATTCCTGTTTTTAGAACGCTTTGATCACCACGCCTTTCCAGCACAGAGTTTTGGCCATGATCGCTTGAGGTGCTGAGGTCCACAGGACCCTCATACACGTCTAGCATTACCCACGCGCAACGCGTTCTTGCCTTTCATCCATATTCACAATGGAAACAACTGAAGAACTCCAACAACTCGAAATCACTGCATTAAAATCCATTTATGATACAGATTTTTTTGAGCCCCCACCGCCTAAGGCTTGGAAGGTCTGTCTGCTCATTTTCTTGAATTACTTCGTCAATGTGTATATCCATATCTAGGGAGCCACCAGATTGCCCGAATTCATTATCAAAGTCACCCACCCCGATCCAATTCACGCCTCCAAGGTTTACTTCCACTTACATATCAAGTCAGGCAACCCTGGTGCTTATATATATTTGTCCTAACGATATCTCATCAGACTACCTAAAACATATCCCACCCTTGCAACTCCAATATTCACTATACAGAAGCCTCGCGGTATCGACCATGATCATGAGATAACTCTTCAAAAGGCTATTCATTCTGAGGCTCAGATGCTCCGGGGATCTGAAATGGTCTTCCAGGTGCGCATAT